AATTGCGTTGCAAACGTTTGAAAAGTGTAAAAGTGTAAGCAGTGTAAGTGTAAACAAAAATTTCCATATAAAATAGTTTTCAAGGCCTACAACACCCCAGCCTATGTATACAAATCTGTTGCGCTTGTGTAGAATATGAGTAGGAATTTTATCTAAAATACTAAAAATATACTGAAAAGTTGGGTTTAAATCCATGGTAGTGACAGTGACAGGAAAGAAAAACAAGGAAGAACGCTATAATCGAGTACCCGGACTATCAGATACCCGTTACTCAGCTAAAGGGACCAAAGGGAAATATGCCAGCAGCAAAGCGAGATTAAAATGTGGACGTGGATAATTTTTGTTTGAACCAATCGATAGGTATTGACGAGACCAATACATTTCAGTTAAAATTTTTTATCTATCACAGGTTTGGGCGGTTTGTGGGCGTGGCAAACTTTTTTTTGGGTCAATCGATAGGTTTTGATGAGAACAATACATTTCAGATAAAATTTTTATTCTAGCATCAAAACTGTAGGAGCCACAGTTTTGGGCGGTTTGTGGGATTGGCACATTGCTGAAACAAACTTGCGCTGCGTAAGAAGCTCAGGAATCTGCACGCCAAGTCTCAATAGCCTAGCTCTTAGTTTCCGAGATCTCAGCGTTCATCCGGACATGGCTAGATCGACTCGGCTAGTGATCCTGATCAAGAATATATATACTTTATGGGGTCGGAAACGCTTCCTTCTGCCTGTTACATACTTTCCGACGAATCTTGTATACCCTTTTACTCTACGAGTAACGGGTATAAAAATTTGAATTTTAAGTGCAAAAGCAAAAAATTGGTCTTCTATAAAACTAAATCATTGAATAACAATTTCAATGGAAGAAAAAGTCTCAAGAAAGCGAGCGAGGGAGGTCAAAACTAAGCGATGGTCTGAGAGCGAAGTTAATAAAGTCCTAGATTATATGTTGGAGCACAAAAATGTCGAGGTAAGAGCTTGCAGAATGGGAGTTATATTTGTAGCTAATAGTTAAGCCTATAGAAACCAACGGCCCAGATTTATTACAAGAAGTTGTTGGAGGCCACAAAAATTGAAGCCACTTGGAACAGTCTCCGTTTTAAAGTGCGTCATTTGAAATTAACTTGACGAAAGGCCGAAGACTTTTGTAAGTCAACAGGAGCAGGAATAGAGGGGGAAGATTCTGAAACAATCATAGAGGGTAACATATCATATTTTCTAAGTTATTTTAAACTATCTAAAATATTTTCGCATCAAAAATCTTAAAGATGTGTCCAAAGCACTACTTACTACAATCAATATTCTTTGTGGAAAAAGATTTGGGGGTCGAAAAATTCTGAAGGAGACATAAAAGAGATTCCAGAAGAACAAGTTGATATAGATATCGCTTTGGATCTCTCCTTTGAAGGTAAATCTAAACGGAAGACAGACAAAACTGCAATGGCGAAACTAATTGAAATGGACTCTGAAAGAATGAAAATTAGGCAGGATACGCTTGCTCTGGAAAAAGAGAAGTTTATGTGGGTCAAAGAACTAGACAAGCGGAAAATTGAATTACAGGAAAAGCGCTTGGACAACGATTTGAAAAAACTGAAAATGAAATTAGAACACAAAGAGCGAAGGTTGAAGACGGAGCTTGAAATGAAAAATAAATCTTAAAAAAGGGATTTTATTTATTGTTTAAACATCAGGTGGTACAAGTTATTCCTTTTGTTTTCGGTGGCAGCAGAATTTTGAGTATTTCCTATTTTCGATTCATTGCCGTTCTGAAATTCATTTAGATGTACGTGTTGGTCCGGTATATCGTGATCAGTCAGCAAAATGTTATGAGTTATACAGCACACCATAACCCAATCGCAGAGAGATGCCTGGGCTGAACTATTTGATAGTCGTATTCTAAGTTCTTTTAAACTACAGAATTTTCCTTTCAAAATCCCAAAACAATTTTCGATTCTAACGTGGTATTGGCTGTGGATTTTATTGAAATTCAGCAGCTCGTTCGGTTCCAACTGACGTGAATTGCTGCGGTATGGGGTAATTAAATTTACCGGGTAGGCAGAGTCGCCTGCAATCCACTGATTTTCACTAAAATGTCTTTTAATGTGCTTTCCAATTATTGGATTTTTAATTATTTTAGAGTCGTGGTAGCTACCGGGACTTCCTATTACAACATCTCGAATTCGGAGTTTGTGGTCACATACATTGCATCTTCACAGAATATATGCGATGGCGCGAGTAATATACTTCATGATTTGTTGGGGGCTTTTAAAAAAGTTTTATATCGCTGCCATCAATATAGCCAATGCAGTAGGGAAACTTATTTGAAACTATATTATCGCGGTCTTCACTTTTAGGCCAATAGATATACTTCCTTGAAAGTCGCAAAATGGCCGTAAAAACTCGTTCCGTGAATAGTGCTAACGTCCCACCATCACCGACCCCATATATTGTAGAGATTTTTCTTACGGAAGCGCTGTTCCCTGATGAGCCCAATCGAAACAAAACTATTGCTAGTTGCAAGTCTATAGGATGTTGCATTTAGGTTCCAGTCGATTAAAATATTTTGTCGTTTCTTATTAGATTCAACAACATTGAAGACTGATCTTTGGACACCCTCAACATTTGCTTAAAACAATCATTAATAAAAGAGCTCAGGATGTTATCTCGCCAATCGTGGGATTTTTTAAAACCCAAAAAGTCTCCTCGACGAAACGACTGAATAAGACTAATATCATAACTAATGGTATCCATTATTTCATCAATTTCTTCATCCACTTGATCCCTCGGACTGGCATCTTCAATGGTTTAATTTAATTTACGCAAATAATGTATAGCTCTTTTACCTATACCTTCAGTTATTTCAATATCAAGCACAGCATTTTTTATGACCCATTCCAGCATTACATCCTTTACACTTTTACGTGGCATTTTGGGTTGCGTTATGCATACATACATATACATATATTTTACACACGTAAAAGCGATTTATTTTTAATGACAGAAAACTTCATAGCCTCACTCACAAAAATTTAAAAGTCGGCTTTCTTTTGTACGTCAATATCCTGCAAAGTTTACACTTTTGCTTATTTGGGTTTTAAATACATTTACTTAACGAAAAAAATGAAAAAGGCACATAATGAAACTAAGAAAATGTGCTGAATAAATCTAACCCAGGAGGATAACTTTCTCTCCAATTATTCTTGCACCACAGGGAAAATCGAAAAAAATCTAAATCCTACAGAAATTGTAAGCCCTTGCAATTAAAGGAATTGAGTTTAATAAAATATATTTATTGCGGAATATACTATCCTAACTCTACTCACAAAAATTTAAAAGTCGGCTTTCTTTTGTACGTCAATATCCTGCAAAGTTTACACTTTTGCTTATTTGGGTTTTAAATACATTTACTTAACGAAAAAAATGAAAAAAGGCACATAATGAAACTAAGAAAATGTGCTGAATAAATCTAACCCAGGAGGATAACTTTCTCTCCAATTATTCTTGCACCACAGGGAAAATCGAAAAAAATCTAAATCCTACAGAAATTGTAAGCCCTTGCAATTAAAGGAATTGAGTTTAATAAAATATATTTATTGCGGAATATACTATCCTAACCCCTATCTCTACGATGGCGTGGAAATGAGGAATGACTTAAGTTTAGTTTAAGTAGCATATACTAGGTGTATAGGATATTGCCGATATATTCGTGCAATTTTCAATCTTAATTTCCACAGGCGAAGCTGTGGGCGACCTTGCTAGTTGTTAATAAAAGCAAGTGTGCCATTTTTATGTTTTTTCAATAAAAAAAAACAAAAATAAGAGATACATCAGCGAAATAATTTAAATTTATAAGTTAAATATTCCCTTCATCCAAATAAGTTTTGTTAAATATTAATTTTAATATAGCGCACAGAAAAGAGGACTTGAAGTTCAAGATGCTAACTGTGCCAACAATAAGGTCTACCTGTACTTGTAATAATAAACTTGCTACATATATAAAAATACATTTTTTAATTGCAACTTCAATGAAATAAATATTCAAACCGTACCATTTCTTGCAGCCAAAATTCCTCCTGTTGCAGCACCGCTTATTATAGAGTTCCACGGATCTTCCTTTTTTCGGAAGTGGACGAGTGTACAGTCAATAGTACTGAACATACCACCCCACACAGCAAAGTTTCCTGCTATAACGGGTGACCGAGTTTTTATGGCAACTATACTTCCGATCTAATAACATGTAATTTGAAATATGTTAAAGAAATATTTAAACCAGTAATGAATACGTTGGTCGCATTAGCCGATCTGACATACTGGTGACTTTTACAATACATTAAAATTGTATATTCCATACCAATCTTCTGTTTAGGCCAGACGGTGCATTACGAAATCCTTTAATTGCTTGAAATACACCGCCCCCAATGCATCCCATGGCAAAGGCACCTCCGCAATCATCTACGATCCTATATGGACATGGTTCTCTAGCGTATTCTTCCATAATAATTTACTGTTAATCCAATTTACTTTAAATAAGTTATTCGTACGATTTTATAATAACATGCGTTTTTATGTAATGTATTATTTCGTCATTAAAATGAAATGACTTAAGATGAACTCAGGTACTAGCATTTTCCCACAGAGTCCATCCGTTTGAAACGGGTGGGATTTTTGACAAATGTGAAACTTCTATCCGATAACACATGACGTGCAGGGCGGCTGCCAGCACAAAACATACTGTGTTTATGCGATGCCGAATTCACGCTTTCATTTCGAGATTTCAGCCGATTCATGTGTGCATAAACGCCATTTCGTGAATTCGGCAACACACGAAAGTTGACTATGAATTCAACCTGAAAGCGTGAAATGGTAACAATTAAACTCCGGTAACCCTAAATAATTATCGGAGTTGCCAGATTGATATAAATACATAAATACACCTTACTTAAAAAATTTTTTTTAAAATGTAGTGCCAATGGAAACTAGTTTTTGTCTTTTATTTTGATTTTAGAAAATATGTTATACTGGCTCGCACACACTTTATCTTTAATATTAGCAAGATTATTTCATGAGAATCGAAAAAAATGTTCGGTTTAATTATCGCTCACACCTATTTCCGCCGGTCCGGCATCTCTGTCAGCTGAGATTGATAAAATGCATGAATTCGGCCGCGTCGCATAAACAGGAGCAAATTTTATTTCACGCTTTCAAGAAATCATGAAACCCTTAGCATAAACATAGTAACAGATACACTGTATCTGATACAGTAAAACGCCCAGCCATGCCATGGGATAAACGTATTGATGTTGCCCTTTATTCGCTTGGGTTATTGGAATGCATAACTATTGACAGATTATTTAAAAACCTTGGTTTGCAAAACTGTAAGCAAATTCTGTATCGAATTCATATCTGTTATGGATCCCAAGAACTTGTTTCCAAACCTTTTGACCGCAGAGGAGATTCTAGAATGCGTGGAAGGATTTGAGAAACTAGCGTTTCACAATGTTTTGCAGCAACGGGTTAAGTCTAAAAAAAATGTCATGATATTAAAGTGATGATTTATTTCGTTCCAGATGGTTGCCATATAGAAAAACGGCCCACGGCCCAGAACGAAACGGCAACTCGCGGTCGGATGTTCAGGACAATGTCACGACTCACAAATTTACATAAAGAGTAAGCTGAAAACAATGTTGGGGGAGACTCCAACCCTTTTATGTGTTATACGTTATGAAGTCATATCCCTTTTCAATAGATATTTTCGCCGAAAATCGAGCCTTTAACTACAATTTGTCTAAGTGTCGACGTGTTGTTGAAAATGCATTCGGACAGTTGAAAACTCTGTTTCGGATAATCGGAAGGGCCTCGATCATATTACAAGAACAAACAATTTGATAATATGCTGCTACATGCTCCACAATTTCTTAAATATGAGCAACAGCTTTATTCAATCAAGATGGGCAACGGAACTCAAAGAAGTTCGCCAGCAACCTGAAAATGCGAAGTCAGAACGCAGAAGCCGAAGCTATTCGACAAGCACTTGCAGTGCACGTTGATGAACCAGACAACTAAATAAGGAATTATTGTGCGAAACTGACTGAAGCGAAAACCCCTTGGGTGTGAATAGGGTATGAGGACTGTAAACTAGAGTACTACCAAAATTATAAAATATATTAAATGCAACGAATTACCTGCTCTGTATTCCATTTTTCCGCATTTGTCAGTTGTCTGTGTGGCTAATGGTGGTGGGAAATTTCAGACAATCGACATTGCAGCCCTGTTTCGCGGAATGTTTCTACCTCCCCGCACCATATAGTTTTTATGGGACTAAAGGCGCGTTAATCCCAACTTTAACTGTGCGGTATTTGTGTGATTTTTCAATAGGCAACATGTTTCCATTGGCAAAAGCATTTGCAAGACCGTTTCTGTGTTATTGTAATTTGCGAGCTAATAGCGTCTTCCCACAGAGATCCATCCATCACCACCATCCGTTAAACGGATAATCCATAATGTTTTGCCGTTCCGAAAATTTCCCAGTTAGTTTCCCATCCAAATTTGACGGACTCTTTTATGCGATAGTTAGGTAATGTTATTTCGATGCAACTTTGAGTTCTTCTTCTTGATAGTGGAAATTGAAACATTCACCACGAAAATATAAGCAATGATGACAGGGAACAATCGAAAATGGGAGTTTGGTTAGATTAGCCAGATCAGCTTCTATCAGATGGTATATGGTCGATGTGCTCTGTGGGAATCGGAGTTTCACATTTGAAAACGGGAGGCGCAGAGGCAACAGATTTGGATTGAGGTCCACAGGTCATCAGATCAGCATTTATCCGATGGTAGATGGTGGATGCGTCCTATCGGAGCATTACATATGTCAAAAATCCGAACCGGTTGGAACGGATGGACTATATGGGAAGGGGGTATAATTAATATCTCTTTAAAAGTCGTGCAGCTTTTTGTTAAGGCGATTATTTATGTTCAAACATAGGAAAGCAATTTCAGTTTGAGAAAAACAAAATAAGTTTGTAATTTCAAATTAGTTTTGCCCTTTGAGGGAAATGTGTTAAGTCTTTTAAAGATTTCAAATGAAGTATGTCAATGGGTATTATAGAAAATTTGTGTTTAAGCGAATCTAATTTCCCCCATCAGCTAAAATTGCATATATACACTCTCAGACGCCCGCATATCTGGTTTTCAGTATTATTGTTTTCATAAGTTTTCCACCTGGACTAGACTTATTATAACATTTTCTTTCTTCAATTAAACGCCTTTTTAAAGACGCCTTTTATATAACAAATAATAATTTAAATAATGTGGTATATTTTTAGTATGCCCTTACACTTAACGGCTGGCTATTCCCATATGCCATATGTTGAGGCCATAAACAACGAACAAAGCAGAATTGGAAAAAATTGGGCAACTTGGTTAATGAGACCTAAATAACAAAAAAATTGTAAGCACCTATTTGCGAGTATACCTTAAAAATATGACCAGCACATTTTAATATTACTTTTAAAAATTTGTAACTGAGATATGGCAAAAGAAAAAGTGAAAAAAATAAGAAAGGACATTTTGGAGCAATGTTGGGTCGCTTTTTGTACCAATTTAATCATCGCACGCTTCTTTCAACTATTTCAGAATTTCTGTTTTTAGATTTTTATGTCAAGCCATTTTGCTACAGGAGCTACTTGCCAATCACTTTATTGGTCCATATATAAACTTAGAATAGATAGAAGCGAAATTAAACGTTTTGGGAGAATAGCCATTCACTTGGGTCATCCTGGGAATACAGAGCAATTATTTGGCATATCAAAAACCTGGGTATGTAAAACTGTTAGCAAATGTGTGGTAGAATTTGAGAAATTAAATATTTGGAGCAATTGCTAAAGTCCATCCCATGTTCTGCTCCCCCAAATCCTGTCATTTTTTTTGGTAATTAAATAGAATGCAACAAATTATGTGATTTCGATTTTTCCGATTTCCATTTTTACCGCTTCTGCCAAATGTTTCGGTCGTACCTTGTTAATGGTGTTGGAAAATACCACAAATCAATTGTGCAGCCCTTTAACGCGGAATTTTCCTCCAACACCTCATTAAAAAGTTTGTATGGGACTTAACACCCTCTGCACACAGCCGGAGCTAGATTAATAAGGTACGTTTTTATGCAACAGGTTAAAGTCTTGGCAAGAAGGACATAGACATTTTTTTAAAGAAGAGATTAATTGCTTCGTTCCGAGCCGTTGGATGGCCAACAACAAATTCCTTATAACGGAGCCATTGCAGTTTAAATGAATTCCCTTCTTAAAAGATTACCAAAACACCAAGTACAAAAATCACCTAAAATTTTAAAAGATACTGAATAAAACATCGAAATGCTGAATAGATTTGTGTGTGCGGTCCTATAACGGGGCCTTAAACGGTAAGTTGATGCAAGCGCGACCCGTTTTTGTCGGCGAGTTAGCAAAGAAAGTGGAATGGTGGTAATAAGAATATGGGGGTTGTCTTAAAAACAAGAGAAATCGCTATCGTCGATGACCTCGACTATTAGATACCCGTTACTCAGCTCAAGACATTGCGAGAGGGATGGAGATATGTTTAAAGCAACTCTGCTTTTTTTACGTACACATATTGCCTATAGCGACACCTATCATCTGTTATGTCGCCATCCCTCAATAATCGATTAATCGAGAAAATCAGGGATGCAAAGATGGTTTAGGGTCCAGTGATGGGCAACGTGAAAATTGGAGTCAGTTCGGGGGCGAATTCAAATTTAAACCAGAATGCAGGGAACAGAGGTCCGTAATCTGCATGGGTTGGCGGAAGGAAAATGGCCGACACTAGATCAGTTCAGATTTGGTGTCGGCGGCGCGCAGTCTCAGCTGGTTCTGTGAAATAGCTATCTCCTTACAGCGGTCGCGGTGTTCAAGTGGCCATCAGCGCCAAGATAATTGCAATCAAAATTTCGAACGCAGTACCGACAAATAAGAAGGAGTGATCCCGCCCGTTCAAAGTTTTCGCCGGTCGCCGACGCTGAAGAACGGTCTCTAAAGCCGGACTGGCCAAGACCTTACGGCGAGTGCGTTCCGGTTAGTGGGGGGAAGAGAAAAGTCCAATAGGAATCCCATTTCAGCCCAGCCGAGAGGAGACGAGGAAGGTAGTGGCCAGGTTCCATGGCCAAGTTTTTTTGGAGCAACATCGGTTCTCAGCCGAAGGTTACGTAATCGGCGGATCCGGTTCCTCCAGCCCCTAGCTACCTGGAGGAACCCGTCGTGCCTGCCAGAATTTTATCCGGGAAGGGGCATAATCCTCTCCAGAATTCGGTGGAGGACTCGATCGCGCGTAACAGCACGTGGTGGAGTTACGTCACCAACCGGATCTGGAAGAGATCGGCGGCTTAACGCGAAATAATCCTTTTATCTTTATGTTGTGTTGTCCATTAATTCAGCCATTTATTTATTTATTTAATTATTTATATTCTTTTCGTAAAATATTTGTTGGGGGATGGGATTTTATATTACACTTTAAAATTAACCTATTTATTGCACAGTATCTATTGCACGATTATTTATTTATTTACATCACAAATTTAAACCAATTTATTTATTGCCGGATGTGAACAATTCACGGCGAGTGTTTTCATATTTGTATCTATTTGTTATTTACCACTTATCGCTCCTTCTGGGCGAGACTTAAATCGTCAAAGCCAAAGATAAAAAACACAAAGAAAAAAAAACATAACCGCAATTGTATCGCGGAGCAAGGGGAATCCTCTCCAGCGACCGCATCGAATAGGTTCGCGTGCTATCATCGAGGCTAGGATCTACTTAAGAGAGCTCTTTTAGGTAGGGACCGAAAGAAGGAAAACAGACCAGTCTATCCGTCTACATAAATCCTTTTGTGTGACTGTTGCACCCGGCGGGCGGTGGTTGATGGGTTTCCTTACGGGAAGCTGAAGAAGTTCTGTAAATAATCTAACTAAATAAATGGTAATAGAATGAATATGGAGTAGACCTATCTTTCAGAGGGGAGGGAACATGTAGACAGTTCCTAGGTATCCTACGGTGACCGGTCCAAGGGGCAGTCCGAGACATCTACGACTGTTACGGTTGGGTGGGAGCGCAGAGACTTTGGGTTTGCCCCCAAAAGCCCACAATATATCCGATGGTGCCCTGTGACCTAGAAGGGAACAAGTGGGGGAGTTAGTTTTGCGATAAACACGTGTTGTGTTAGTTTTATAGTTGCGCACATTTCGTCAATGTTTTGGTCCAGCAATAAGACAGCTGTTGCAGCGTGAAGTGTTGTAAAGTACAAACATCTGTTTGTTTATTGTTTCGTGTGTGTGGGCAGGGTTGGAGTACCCACACCCCAAGTGCTCTAGAGCTAGCCGGCGCTGCCCACTCGCGGACACACGTAGTCCTATTTTGGGACATAACAATATTGGCGCCCAACTTCAAATATAAATGGCAACGCACCAGGCTCAAATAGGATTTTCCTCTTCCCATAGACCATTTTGAAGTCCGCGTCTGACCGGTAGGCGAACAGCAGAAAGATCTGGGGAAAAGACGAGAAATAAAGTTTGGATTAGGAAAGTAAAAAAAAAGAAAACGTTCTGTACTGTGTTTCTTGCTCGACGACATCAGCTGGTCCAAGCAGACTAGAAGACTTGCGATCGAGATACAGGTGCAACAGTCGGGGGGACGTAAAAAGATCCTTTTTCTTTGGGCAGTCGCCAACACAACCGAAATCCGAAGTCCTGAGTCTCTTAAGAACAGGAGTCTCAGAAGCTTCTGGATGAGATGTATCGAGAGGTCGATGGGATGATGGCGGGTGAAGAAACGTGGATTTTTTATTACTAAATAAAATGACACCCTTGACTCCCAAACTTCGACTGAGTCGAAGTTGGAAGAAGTAGACATTGTCATTGTTTTGTGTTAAACGTTAAATGTTGTTATCATGTACCATGGTCGAGGGCAGTCCATTAGAGAATTAGGTCCGCACATCAGTTCATCGTGTAGGATGGGACAGTTCAAAGTAGTTATTTCCCCTTATGTTTCCTGAAAGAAAAAGGTCGAAAGGTGGTCGACGATGCGTCGGATTGGTATTGGCTGCTGGTCCGTACTAACAACATAGCAACCTGTATTGAGCGTCGGTATAGCGACACTAGATGCGACTATGAGAG